CACATTTTTCAGTTGACTTACGGACGCCATTATGAAAATCAGTGAATGGTTTTGTGGCGTTTTGAACCCATAGCTTATCTCAAGGCCATGGTGGTGTACAGCATGGCTTTTTCCTCTTAGAACTGGCCTCTTCTGTTCCTTCTATCTGCTGTTCATAGCTTCTCTGCTGTCCACATTGCTGATTACAGTTCACGGTGGTCAGGGTGATGGCTCCTTATGCCACATAAGGGTCCTCTGGGTAGTCAACACTCACTCAAGGCTCTTATACAAATGAGTGTCTCTTCCTGAATTGTACTGGAAGTCATCTGAGAGGAATCTTCACAATTTGAAAAAACACCACGCAAGGAGAAAGTTCCAGGAATTAGGAGAAACTGATAATTTTGTTGGTTGTCTAAAAAATTGGAAGATTACCTTTAAAAATATGTGCTGTTCAACCTAGCCTGAGGAATAAGATCTTGTTTTTCAAATACTTGATATTTATTAGAGAATACACAGCTCATGGTAGAGAAAGGGGTCTTAAGAATGAACAAAGCACAAAAGGACAGCTACTGGAGGTGCTTTTCCTGAGGGAGTAAAAGAATTGCCAGGTCTTGTGACCTCTAAACTCCATAAAATTACTAATTTTACTCCTGCCTGCCCACAGGGGGTGGTTTCATGGGTTCTCAATCTTCCCCTAACCTCAGGATTAAAAAATCCTCTTCCCCCAGCTCCTTTTCCTACTTCCTACCTGTCCAAGGAGTGATATCCGGAGGTTCACAATTAGATGGAATCTCTTCCAAAGCTTTGTTCTTTTTGGAGGGTGGCAGAGAAATGACAGTATGTGCCATCAGGGAGAAGTGGAGAAATGGGATTCAGTGTTTTTGAAATAAACAATGAGTCTCGGTGTTTGGAAGCATTCGGACCCTGGGTCACCCTGACTCCGGTCTGGGGTAGTACCTGTGACATCCCCTCACATGATGTGACAAGGAAGTAGGAAATAACAGGATGGAAACCACGGCTTAGGAGGTGCCCGGTATCTCCCTCGGGACCCCAGATGCTTACTGTACAAGTAAAAATGTCTCTTGGTTAGGATCAGCCCCTGCAGGTCTCATCTTGTCTCCTTTCCCAAGCACCCTAAGAAGCTCCTGGTACATTATTTCACCTCACATGCTGTGCCTTCCCCTTACAAACATCATGCTGTTTTTCTCTGATTTTCTGTTCATATCTCAAGAACAAAACTCTGGCAATGGTACATGGAATGACTGTTCCCCCGCCACCCTAGCCCTGGCCGAGCAAGGTAATTGCTCTTGAAGAAACACTGACCTCCCCTAATGACTAGGAGCCCCACAAAACCCTCTTTGTCATCTCTCCACCCAAACCTGAAGGAATCGTCAACTGAATGATTCAGAATATTTTCTTTAAAAAGTAATAATAGAACCGGTGACACCTTCCTCTCATGGCACAAGAGGAAGATCTTCTTTGTCAGGGAAGAGGACAGCTTGCTACCTACAAGAGGCCCATTGCCACGAGAGAAGTTTGCCTTTGAGGCCACAGTGGCTGAGAAAGGGGAAATACAGCCTTAGGGAAGCTGTTTGCTTTAGTTGAGGTGAAGCCAATCTAGCCAAAACTGTTTGCATTCAGCAATATGTGCTGATTATAGTTCTTTGAGTAAACAGGTGACAGGGAACAGGGGGGACAAAAGCCAGCTTTAGGGTCAAGGAGTTATAAAAAAGCATAAAAAGAACCAACTAACTTCTCCATGTTAACAAATACACTGGTTTAAGACCGTTCTCCCAATTTCAGATGTAACTGACATTAACCATCTTGGTCTGAGTTCTAATTGGGACATAAAAATCATAGGATTTTGGAGCTTAGGGGAACCTTAGCATCATAGTCTGTCAACATTCGTTCTATAGATGAAGAAACAGACTAAAAGTTTATTTCTTCTCTGTGTCTACCAAGTGATTGGCTGAATGTTCAGAAAACTGTGTCAGGATTAGAATGCAAGTCTCTTAACACCTAATCCAGCGCTTTCCCCGCATGTCACCCCAGGGATTTTCCTGGCCCAGTGACCTCAGTCAATGATAGCAAACCTTTTAGAGCTTTCAGTGACATGAATAGCCCAATGCAGCACACATGCTGTAGGTTTGCCACCGCTGACTTAGGCAATGAGGCACAGGCTTTAGGCTGGGTCCGTAGAGCAGTAAATCACTAACTTTTATAACAGCCTGCCAGAGAATCCTCAAAGTCAGACTCTACCCCAGGAGCGCCCACCACCGCTGTCTTTGGCCAGACAGAAGGCTGAAGTATATTTTGAGAAACTAGATTGCCATGCTTTTCATGGTAGCCTAGACTTCTGGGGCCCCACAGGACGATCCACCTGCCACCCTAGCATGCTGGGCTCAGGCCCTTCCTCATAGTAGCCTTGGAGAGCCAGTGGCCCAGAAGAAGCCAAAATACCATAAATCCCTGGCTCCAAAATTCACCCCAGCCAGGACAGGAGAGAATTAACCAAACATAGTCATGTTCTGAAGCAGCATGAAGAAGTCCAGACTGCAGGGGAGAGCATGAGCTCCGCCTCCGGCACGGTGGCTATGAGATGATAAAGGGCATCCAGCCAGGAACATGGACGGACCAGGAGAGACTCAGAACTATAGCTCCAGAGAGGAGGAAGGGCTGGAGATGCAGGAAAGGAGTCGCCACAGAAAGGGGACTGAGGAAAGGCTGAGGTCCTAGTGACCAAAAGGGGCACAGGCTTGGAGGCAGGTTCTACCTGGATTCAAATCCTGACCCCACCACTTACAAAGTATATGCCTGGGGAAAAGCTCTTAGCCTTTCTCAGTCCAGGATCTCGCTTCTGCAAAACAGATAATAATCATATTTTTCTTATGACGATTAAAGGAGTACATGGATGAATCTGGAAGAGCTCTTAGCACGTGTGAAGGAGAACTTGTATTTCTCCTGTTAGTTCCAATGTTAAATGTTCTCAGTGGTTCTCACAGGGTTCCAGATGAAATTCAAATTAATTTGCAGGGTCCCTGTGGCTGGGACCAGGTCTCATTCCCAAGCCTCTGTCCCCTACTGGCTCTGTGAGGAGTTGCACTGCGTCTCCCAAAACACCTGTGTTGAAATCCTGACTCTGCGTGGCAGGAGTGGTCTGATTTGGAAGCAGGGCCTTTGCAGGTGTGCATAGTTGAATCCTATTGGAGCTTGATGGTCTTCAGCCCCCAGAGTGACCAGGATTGGGGTCCTCAAACAAAGGGGAGACTGGGTACTGACACACACTCGGGGACAATGCCTTGTGAACGTGACACAGAGATCAGGTAGTACGGCCACACAATGGGGTTCGCCAAGAACACCGGACACCTTCACCTAGGACCTGTGGCTGCCAGAGCTAGGAGATGATTCATTTCTGCTATGGAAGCCGCCAGTCTGTAGCATTTTGTCATGGCTACTACCTTCCTGTCCCTCTCTGGGGTGCAGGGTTCCTGGGCATTTTCCCTTCAGTACCTGTGCTCTGACTGCTTCCTCGGTGTGGAAAGAGCCCCACCACACCCTGTGTCTGAGTGCATAAAGTCCTGCTCATCCTTGTCCCTTCAGGTTAGCGGAAGTGTCCCTTCCTCTCTGCCTTTTTCAGAGAACATCCCCTTCCAAGGCCAAACCGATCTCTTTCTCCCCGGTGGGAGCAGCTGAGACCCACTGAGCCCTGTCACCAGAGGAAGCCTGTGGAAGCGAGTGGCTCCCGTTCTGCCTTCACCTTCGCAGTGCCGCTCCCCATCTTCACTGCGTGTTACGGCCCCTGGCCTGAGTTTAGGAAATACTGGAGCAGAGGACGCCATGCCTGAGACGGGGTCCAGAGGTCCAGGACACGGATCTCAGGCAAGCACTTAGTGAAGGCTGACTCGAGGGAGTCAGGCCTCTCACCCTCCTCTGCCTTGTTCTTCATCTCTCCCCACTCAAAGTCTCCTCAAAGCAAACAAAACTAACTCAGAAACAAACCCAGAAGGTACCCATTTGAGGTTTAGAGCACTGCACTATTTGAAATCCACATAGACTAAAGAAACAGAAGTGTATTGCTAGTATTCTAAAATAAGGAAAAACAGAAAGGCAGGTGGAGCTTGTTTAGACTCCCCGTCTCCCTGCCTTCAGATATCAAATGCCATCTCGTTGATCCTCCTCTGAACACGGGTGTGGGAAAGTCCACCGGGCCCCGCTTCTCCTCCCCTCCTTGCTTTCTCCCTTGAGGAACCCTAGACAGGAAATACGGCACTATCTTCATATTTTCCAGTGTTTTCAGCAACCCTGCTTAGCAAGAGCTGAGTATGGGAAGGCGCTGGACCCTAACTTCCCTTCTCGCAACTCCCACTGGGTCTCCTCAAACACAGCGTTCTCAACATTCTTTTCTCACTTTCTTCTTCCTCTCTGCAAATACGAAGATAAAAATAACTGAAAGGGACCATTTGCTTTATTGTTTTCCCTGAGAATAAAATGAATACACACTCCTTATAAGAGATTTAGAATGTGTTTTTAACAGGCACTTTTAAATGCAATTCATCATTCTAGCATGAGAAATTAACTGTTAGGATGTCTGATAGATTTTATCATAAATTACGTATCTGTATCAGAAAAATCGTTCCATAAATATATATAATACAAATGTGAGAGAAAAGAGAGAGACTGAATATCTTTTGGTGGTGAGATCTGTCCTATCACCGTGGAAACTTGTTGTATACAATCCAAGAATAAAAACTCAACCCTGAAACACAATGGACTGAAAGTATTCCTAACGATCTCAAAGAGGCGATCAGCATGGGTTTTTTACCCAGCTTTTGGAGGACTGGGGTGGGGCCCAACACACACGTGAGCAGTGTTAAACAGTTAAAATAGTTTAAAAGGTAAAAAACATTCAAAGTGTGTATGAAATTTTGACAAGGCAAAATTGTATTCAACACCATGGGGGTGAAGAGAGAGAGAGGCCAGGGTTGGTAATCCACAGCCTGGCCACACCCAGCCACGCTCACCTGTGTAAGAAGGGCCTGCAGCACAGGAGAAAAGCTGAGGTGTCAGGAAGAGATCTCGGCGCCTGAGGACAAAAGCTTTTACTACCTGGTCCACTTCAGAGAAAAGAAGACCTGTTGACGCAGACAAAGGGCATTCTAGTTGCATAATGTAAGCTTCCTGCTCGAGTTTTCTGGCTGCTGTTTGGTTTTTGCAATGGGGGAGGAGACTTCGTTCTCCGTAGGAGAGAGGAATGCAGAGAGATCCCTCTATTCCAGGGGGTTGGAGGGTTTACCTGGAGCCTAAGTAAGATCCAGGTTTCCTGGGACTCGGTCTGGAAGAGAGGGAGAGAAAAGGCTCCTGGGAATCAGCTACCTCCTACATCACCCACGCCCAGACCCATAGAAATAGCAGTCAACCAACGCACTACGGGAGCCGAAGGGGATTGACTTATCCTGGTGCTATGAGGATCGTTTCCAAAGGACGTTTCACAAATCACAAAGCTTCCCACGAGGGATTCGCTCTTGAAAAACGATGTGATGTGGTGCTGAGGCCAGACAGGCATGGACTGAGTCCCACTGGCTTCGTGACTCTGCAGATCTCAGCTCTTTCTTCTGGAAAGCAGGAACATTGGTGGCTTCCTCTGAGACATTACGAGACATAGATGAGATGCACAGTGATGTCGTTAGCATGCCCCCCCCACATGCGAGCAGCGTCAGGCAGACAGCGGCTGTCGTTAAGACAAAGACAACTGTGCCGCCGGCTTCCTGTACTAGAAAGGGTCGGATTGCAATTTCCTTAAGTGTTTTTTAAAGCATTATTATTAATTTGCCTGGCAGTTTTTAGGCACTTCATACATAGCAGTGACGGAGATCCAGGCTGTGGATTACTTCATTACTGGAGGACCTTTGGAACGTCTTCAATTAAATCTATGAGCAAAATTTCATTTAATAATGAAGCCTATCAAATACCCGTGTGTGTGCATGTGTGTGCATGTGTGTGTATGTGTGTGGTGTGTGCATGTGTGTGTGTGTGTGTGTGTGTGGTGTGGTGTTTGTCTACAGCCAGACAATTCATGAAAGAGTACATCCTACAAACAATATGGTTATTTTCTATAGTTTTCAAATTGCAACCATAATCCAACAACATTGCAACCCCCTAAGCAGGTGAGGCCCCCCCGTTTGAGAAGCGTGTATCAGAGGGGCATCGAAGGGGAGGTTCTGTCCCCACAATGGTCTAACAGAGCCACTCTGCCATTCTGAGACCTGCAACACCTTCTATTATTATTTGCTTCCCGTCCCTATGCCTTGAATCCTTCATTATGTCTCTTAAAGTCAAAATAAAGTTTTGTACTTGGGAACTTTCACAATTTTCTAGCACAGAGGAGGAAACAAAAGACCTTTCAGAAATTGTTTTTAAGTGGAATTAAATTTACATTTGCATAAAGCTGAAGTGAGTGGATTGTTCTGTCTTCCCCAGGAAATTTCATAACCCAAATTACCAGACAGTCTGATGCCAGAATTATCTGCCTGCTGAGGCCCAAATTCTGCTGTGAGCACTGCTCTGAGATGAGACCTTGAGCAAAACGTGTAAGAAGAGGAGCCGCCCTGCTCATTCCTGTCTCTGCTGTCCCCACATCGGGACTGCTATGACAATTGCTAGTAGGATGTGCATTAGCACAATTTATAAGTTTCTGTTGTGTCTCATTCGGGGACAGTCGGTCTCCTTGAGTTCTGTCTCCCTACCTGCACACATTTAAGCTTTGCGAATTTCTTCATCCACTGACAGAAACACAGCTAGTGCCCGCCACATTGTGTGTGTGTGTGTGTGTGTGTGTGAGACAGATTCAGATGTGCAAAGCTATGGAGGAATAGGAGGGACTCTAAGGCCACCTGTGTGCTGGGGCCACGCTGCTGCTTCCCACACCCAGCGTGCAGACTTCCTGAGGGCTCCTCGCTGGTCACTCCACCTCGTCCCTTGGTTCCAGCACCTGCAGCCTGTTGGTCTCCACCCCCAGTTGGATTCTTAAACAGCTCTACATGTTCAGCGGGGTGAGGGAAGCTATTTGAGGAGGGCTTCTGGATCAGGAGCTGGTGCAGAGCCCATTGAAGCTGGTGTATCCACAGCTGAGACTCGAAGTCAAGGTCAGGAGAACTCAACAACTCCATGCATGGCCTTGGCTCAAGTCCATCGTCCTTGGCCATCATGAGGCTCTCGGCCCTGTGAAGTGCCTTACCTTCTTCAGCCTCATTTTTATATCAGGGAGATGAAGTCATCAATAGCATATTAGAAGGTCATTGTGAAGAATTACATAAAATAAGCAAACCAAGCCGTTCTCAGCTGACTGCCCCCTCCCCAGCAAGCACACAATGAACCTTGTCATCATTATTGTTGCTAATGTCGTCATGGAAGTCCTCCTGCACTGCCCTTCATCGTGCGGGGAACAGCAGCAAAATGGTAAAGCTTTACATCCATCCAGTCCTGCCATGAATCTCCCCCCAATGAACAGCCAGTCTAAAGATAGGAAACCACGTGAGGGACCTCAAGATGAAGAGTGACATCATGTGCACCCTCTGGCATCATCAAAACTTCTGGATGAACTGGCCTGTGGCTCCAAGTCCCCAGGGCCAGCAGGTCCTAGGAGTTGACATGACCTTCCCTGCAGTCCCTAAAGATCAACCACCAGGGACGGGAAGAAGTCTGGGGATGCCCCCTGCAGGCTCCTCCCATGGGGGGAGCAGGTCCCACCATGAGGCCATCAGCAGCGGATGGGCTAAGGCCAGGGAAAAGAATAGAGCTGGGCTCAAGCTTAATAACATTACCCAGGCTCCCACACGCCACCTGCCCCAACACCACAATCAGGAAACATAGCACTGGTAACACATGTTCCAGCTCCCAGGGGGATGTGTGGCAGGGAACTTGGGTATCAGGCCCACTTCCAAGGTCACCAGGTCTAGTGAAGAGATGCTCTCTGGGCTGCATGTTCTTAGTAGACCCTGTGACGGGACAGCAGAGACCTTGGCTGCTCCAGGCTGGCCCCCTACTCCTGGGAACAGTATTCAGAAGGAACGAGGAAGCAAGGGGGTAAATTCCTGCTCCTCTCACCCTAGGATCCTAGGATTATCCTAGGGAGTGTTTTCACAATGGACATGAGAGAAACTGGCTGTCTAAGCTTTGGTCTGGAGAAACAGAGCTGCAGTCACATGTCCTAACATTCCCTTCTTTTCCCAGCCTCCAAATTTTGGCCCTGAGCCCTAGAAACCCAGGAGGCTGAGAGCAGCAAAACAAGTCATTTTGTGATTTCCTGTCAACTCTACCGCTATTCCCCAGATGAGGATTTATAAGCCACATGATCACTTCTCTCAGACTGACAAAGACCCCAGGGGTCACCCAGGTTCCTCCTGCTGCCCGTTGCTTGGGAACAGCACCCCATTCCTGAGACTCTGAAGGATGGGTGCATCTGATCATTTTCTAAACATCTGCCAGACCTTCCCCCGGATGGAGCTGCCACAGACCCCAGGGCTGGGTGCTCCCTGCAGGATGGGAAGACAGGAGCTGCCCCTCAGACTCCCCTTGCCTCAATGCCCTGAGCAGAACCTCTGATTTGCACTCAGCAGCTAATGTCGCTGGTGTGTACCATTGCCTCATGTCACACAGGCCACAGGTCTCCATCCCCAGAATAGGACAGGCCAGACCTCCATGTGGTGTGCAATATCTGGAACGTCGTGAGATAAAAAGGATGGAGGACAAGGTGCGCCAGGGCTGCCTCGGTAGTCCCAAACCCCAGGGACTGAGGTAGAATCCTCAGACAGAATAAATTAGAAGGAGGACACAGGAGCTGTGAAGATGAGGAGGAAGCAGATTCATGGGTTCCTGGGGCGTGGAGTCACAATAAAGGGCATTAGAGCTTCCTTTGTGATCTAGACAGGATGAACCTCACAGGATCGTGAGCACTCCTTCCTGTGACCAGCGACTATTTTCATAGCTAGAAAAATAGGAAAGATGTCATGCAAGATGGCACTAAAATTAATTGATGTTGACATGTACTAAATACAGTAATAACTCACTTCCGTTTGCGGCATCATCTCAGAGAAAAAGGGAAACTGTAGAAGCGATGGATGGTGGGGGAAGTGCTGATGCGCTGTCTCCCCAGGCCAGTCTTGAGTTCTCAGTTGATCTCAGTACGTAAGAACAGTTTTAAAGCATCCCAAAATCTTTTTTTAAAGCAGAATATCCCTGGTCCAAATAAGGGTCCCTTATACATAACAGTTTCCAAACCCTCAGTACTCTCCTCTGAACATATTTTAGTTCACCCCTGATCCTACACAAATGCAGGATACAGAATATAAGAAAAGTTTCTAATGCAGTCTACTCTGGTTAAAATTCAGCAGACATCTCTCCCACTTTGTGCTGGCCACATTTTTTTTTTCTTTAATGCAACGTAATTGCTATACTGGATTTTAGCAGCAATGGAAAAGACAATTGACTTCAGTTTGACTTGTTTTTTATACTAACACAATTTCTTGGATTGTTTTGGTTTGGTTTTTTCTGACTAAATAAAATCGTACCCTGGTTAAGTAAGTTTTACCATGTAGGTTTGAGTTGCTTTCCAGTCCAGCTCAGTAAGATCACTCTGAGTCTGGATTCTGACTCTCGTCAATCATTCTGCATGTCCACGTCATTCCACAGTCGACAGTCAGACCTCTTCCTTCAAATGTTCACTAATAATTGGTGAGTGGGGTGGAGACAAAGGGAGCTACTGGGTCAATACAATGTTGTCTTCCTCCTCCTCTGTGGGGCTTTCTTCAGGGTCATGTTGAGAACCATGCTGTATATCCTGGTCCCTTTCCTATTGCTGAGACAATACACTTGACCCCTGAAACTTAAACGAAGGGACAGTTATTTTGTCTCATGGCTTTGGTGGGCTCAGTCCATGGTCTGCTGGTGCCAAGACAGAAAAGGCATGGTGGAAGGGCCTGGTGAAAGAAGCTGCTTACCTCATGGCAGTCAGGAAGGAAAAAGAAAGAGGAGCCAGCACACAAATGCACCCTTCCAGGTCATGTCTCCAGTAGGCCGCTCCTACCAGTCAGTCATTACCTCCTAACAGCACATGCAGCCATAAACTCATCCCTGGACAAATCCACTGACAAGTACAGCACCCCATGATCCGATCACCTTCCCACCTCTGAATACACAAGACTTTTAGGGAGCAATTTGGATCTAAAATGTAACACTTCATTAACTTAGAAAATAAACCATAAGATAGCATAAGCCATTGAAAAACTTGTAAGCTGTATTCACAGTGCCTGTTTAGTGAAATTCCTTAGATTAAAGAAATATATAGGCATGCATTTCCCTATTAAGGAAAAATGTGTCTGTGCTAGTAAGTTGGAAAAGAAAACTAATGAAATAGTTTACTTAACGTTTCCATTTGAGTTCATGACATAACTCTAGCTGAGACCAAAGACCAACACTAAGGGAAGAGGTGAGACTCTGTGAAACTGACGTTGGTCAGGGGCTAAGGGCGGGGTCACCCCTTAACCCACAGCAGCCCTGTGATGTCACAGCGACTTGGCGACATCCTGAATGCCTTACAGTTGCACAGGCACTTGGGGCTTGGCATAAATACAGCACTAAAAAGAGGCCATTTAAAATAGTTTTTCCTTCTCACAGTGATGATTCCCACTGAGCCTAAGCTCAGGAAGTAGAGTAATTGTGTGACTCATTCGAGCATAATTTTAAGGGCGTAGAGGAAAAGCCTATGCAAATGTGTTAATATTCACCTAATACATTTTTAAAAAGTCAGTCCAATTGAGTTTACGCCTGGCTGCAGATTCCTGAGGGATGATCACAGGCCTGCGGCTAAACAATCTCCAGCCTAACCCATC